CGGCGCGAACTCATTTCGGCGCGAGCTCATTTCGGCGCGAACACACATCGGCGCAAGATCTTGTTTTCTTCCAAAAATTGTGATTTATCAGTCAATTTGTGTGGAAACCCGCACAAGATTTCCAAGTTGCATTTGTACTTTGCCATGCGTCGCCAACGTCTCCACGTCTCCAACGTACACGTGTTCATTGGTTCCTCTGACGTGCATACGCCGCCAACGTTCTCACGTCTCCAACGTCCACACGTTCAGATGTTCCTTCGACGTGCATAAGTCGCCAACGTCTTCACATCTCCGACGTTCACACGTTCATGTGTCCCTCTGACATGCATACGTCGCCTACGTGCCTACGTTATCGTCCTTTGGGCAGAACGCCAAAGCTCTCGACTGGATTGCTACTGCGGCTTTATCATCGTTTCATGTTGCTTCCGACCAGTCGTCCAAGAAAAATCCGCATTCCACGTGCTAAAACGCGATGTCCTGTAATAGTTGTTTATGAAAAAATAACAAGTCACTCTGAGGTTTTTAGGATAGCTGAGCAGGTACTCTCAGTCCGGAATCAGCCGAAGGTTGCGGACAACGGCCACAGTTACGTCTTCGACAGATGCAGCGCAGACGAAACTCTTCGCTTCTACAGGTGCGACAAGAAGCACGACAGCTGCCCCGCAAGAATTCACGTATCCGTGGAGACTGGTGGCATTGTCCGACGCATCAACGACCACATTCACGGAAGCGATGTCACGCGCATTGAAGCTGCACGGGTGGTAGCCGGAGTGAAGCGCCGGTGCGCAGAAAATCAAGAACTTCCCGGACAGCTGGTCGCTACCGCATTGCAGATAGGACGTGAATTCAGTGCCAAAACAGAAAAAAGACTTTAGAACGTCAATGAAGCAGTCATGGGAAAACTGCCAACCTCTCGAGCGATGAAGCAGGCCATCAACCGCCAACGCAACAAGATCGGCGCCGTGCCTGCAAATCCGCTAAATCTTCGGGACCTAGTAATTCCGTAACCATACAAGTAAGCATTGACTACTAGTGTAAAGTAATGATTTGATTCATTTCAGGTACTACTGTCCCGACGAAAACACTCGTGAGCTCTACGTCCTGGCTGACTCGGGTCCAAGCGACGACCGGGTCATCATATTCGGCCGTCAGAGCAGTGCCGAGTGGGCCCACCTGATGCAAGTGCTCTACGCGGACGGCACGTTCTCAATCTCGCCGTCCGTATTCTACCAGGTCTTCGTCCTTCTCGCAAAACGGGGCAGCTACGTGCTTCCTGTTGCGTATGGCCCACTCCCGGACAGGAGACGCGAGTCGTACGAGCGGTTCTTCGCTCTGCTGAAGGTACATATTGCAAACTATTTGTTGATTTTCCCGTAAGCTGTTGTTTCAGGGTGCTCGGCTTCAGTTGAATCCAGTCACTGTTTCGCTGGATTTCGAGCAGGCCACGCTCACCGCCATTCGCGCTGCTTTCCCTGGGTCTGCTCTGCTCGGTTGCTTGTACCACTTGGCGAAGAACGTGCGCCTTCATGTGAGCCGAGAAGGGCTTCTGGCAAGATACAACACCGATGCAGGCTTTGCCCTCCAAGTCCGAATGATCGTCGCCTTGGCTTTTGTGCCGCTCGATGACGTGGAACTGGCGTTCGAAACGCTTGAGGACGAGCTGCCTGACGAGCTCCAGCCGGTTCTTGCTTACTTCGAAGTACGAGTTGTCAGTACATAACAAATATACAATTGCTTTTTAGGCGTACTACATTGGTCGTCGTCGCAACGACAACATTCGCCGTCAGCCATTGTTCCCCAAAGAGCTTTGGTCGGTGCATGCAAGGACCGTCGGCAACCAGGACCGCACTAACAACCATGCGGAAGCGGCGCACAGGAAGCTGCAGGCGATGCTCCAAATGGACCATCCGAGCCTATGGAAGTTCATCGAGTCTCTAATGCATGTCCAAAAGGAGACGGATTTCCGATACGAGCAGTACGTCCGCGGAGATCAGAACGTCCCAAAGCGCAAGAAATACCGGGGGGCTGACGAACGCATCCTCACGATCGTAACCGAGTACCGCAACCGAGAGATCATTGAGTACCTCCGAGGCATCGCTCACAACTTCCAGATGGAGTAATCTGTTTATTTCTTCTTTTCCCACTTCACTCATTTCCGTTACCTTGTTAACCTTAGTCCCTTTGCGCTAAGTTCCCGTGTTACCTTCCACTTGTGCCCCTTGCAGTGCCGTGTTCTCCGGGTCTAGGCCTTTCGGTCGGGTATATTGACTTTGTTGTTTCCCTTTGTCCGGTGTTTCCGGTTAACGGTGCTTCACTTTGTCAGGATTTCATGCCTGCAGACTGTAAACTTTAACTGCAAAAGATCCAAATGTCGATGTGTGTTCGCGCCGAAATGAGCTCGCGCCGAAATGAGCTCGCGCCGAAATGAGCTCGCGCCGAAATGAGTTCGCGCCGAAGTGTGCCGCGCCAAAATGAGTTCGCGCCGAAGTGTGCCGCGCCGAAATGTGCCGCGCCGAAGTGAGTTCGCGCCGAAGTGAGCTCGCGCCGAAGTGAGTTTCGCGCCGAAGGAGCTGCTCCGTGTGGCCCGCTGTCTCTGCATCAATTATCCGGCCAATGTGGCCCCCTGTATTTGCAGCAATTATTCGCCCAATGTGGCCCGCTGTCTCTGCAGTAACTACTCGCCCAATGTGGCCCGCTGTCTTTGCAGCAATTATTCGCCCAATGTGGCCCGCTGTCTCTGCATCAATTATCCGCCCAATGTGGCCCGCTGTATTTGCAGCAATTATTCGCCCAATGTGGCCCGCTGTCTCTGCATCATTTATAAGCCCAATGTGGCCCCCTGTATTTGCAGCAATGATTTGCCCAATGTGGCCCGCTGTCTCTGCAGCAATTATCCGCCCAATATGGCCCGCCCAAAATTGGCCCGCTGACTGTGCAGCGCCGCGCTCTGCGCGTTCCGGCTTCATTGCCGTGATCCCGGTACCACGTTTTGTGTATACCTTAGGATGCCACACAGTATACTTAACCTCCCTATATGTCGTAGCAGGGGAAGACTGCTCATTAGCAGGCGCCGATGTAGCTTCATATGGTGGCAACGTAAGCCCTACTTGCCAGCTTGCTACTGTCTTTGAAGAGCTTACCCGAGTCGCAGGCAAGGTTTCACAATAGTTGAAGTAGCTTGCCCATTCGCAACAGGTGATTATGAGCTGTTTGAGGCCAAGGTTGGCAGTTAACGGCTTAACAGAAGGACTAGGTTCACACAAATAATTTGTTTCCGCGGTATGCGAACCTAGACCACTTTTATGTACGCGCCCCCATGTAATGAATGCTCTGTCCAGCTGCGTCGTGGTCACTGACATGCCGCTTGTCCGGACCTCGGGTGATAAGTACACTGTGCCTTCACTTCAGGAGTGCGACTCCTTGACTTGACTTCCGGAGTCTTACTGCTCCGTATCCTGTTTATTTTATTCACCGCGCGCTTAAGTTTTTCATAATGCTGCTTCATGAATGCCTAGCTTTCCGGAGCTGGCCTGCTACCGTGCTTAATATTCCGGGGCTAACCGGCCTTCGTGACTTGAAGTTATTCATCACATTTACCTGACTGTCGCGCGAAAGCCCAGAGCGTACCGCTCTGTGCTAGGTACCTTGTCTTGCACCCGCAACTCGCATTGTTATGCGTTACCGAACTCTGTCCAGGATCGGGCCACCAACTGTAACGTGCCGACGGGTGCCACGCAGGCATACGTCACCGTTAACTTGCACTAATTACCGCACCGGGTTTGATGCGCCCTTTTTGAGCTCTCAGGATACACTTCCAGGGCTGCGGCGCCATGGCAGTGCCCTTATCTTTTATCTAAAGGGCATCTACCACTGCGGCAAGGGCCGAAAAGCGCCGTACTGGCCTTGTATTCTAGCAAATGTGCCATGGCTTCACAATCCGAAACCATCAAGTCAGGCCTAGAGGGAGCTTTGCACTAGCCTCCTCTATGAACAGAGCCTACTAGGCATGCCCTGTACTTCCGTGCTTGCATGCTTCAATATGGGCTACGTGCGTTGTAGTACGTCACTGCTGGCCGTAAGTGTGCACAAGTATTGCCCTAGTGTCACTTAGAACAAGCTAGGTATCCCACATAGTGCCATGAGTCTGCCTTCATTCAAGCTTGTATGCCTATATGGGACGAGGGCCGGAAAGCGCACATAGTGTTGTCATGCATGCCACGCCAGAAGGTACAAGTTCGCACGTATGGGCTCTGTGCTAGCGTGCATCACATAGTAGTCGCATAGAAAGCCTAGGCTTATAGGACAGATACGATAGATAGTATAGGATAGAGACACTATATTGTAATGATACACAGCATTGCCTGCGTTGGCCTGCATGTGCCCAGATTGGCAGTACTGGCCTTTGCGCCCGTCGGTACTTTGCCTAGGATCGCTTGGACTAGGCGAGTGTGAGCGCAAAGCATACATGAGTACCTCGCCTAGGTGCACGCAGCCTGCCAGTATCTCCTGGAAGAATCTTTTCGAGACACCTGTGTCACCTCCCAATAGCGAATCGACACCAGGCTTCCATATGTGTCACCGCTAAGTATGCATCAGTACTGCTTATGAACACGGAAGCATATGCGAGTACTTTTCATCAAAATTGAAGGGAATAAGCCTCGTCGGGGCTCTGTGCTGATTACAAAACGTACTTGGAGCTTGTTCACTCGTGGCGACGTATGCAACTGGAAAGAAGCGTAGCACTTGCCACTTCTATGCCAAGCAAGTAACTGCAACGAAGGGATGTAAGCATGTCCGAAGCTTGCGTATTTTCTCGGAGAATGCCTGCGCCTATCGCGCTTACTTTGGAATAAAGCATGCTAGTCCTCAGAAAAATTCTCCGTTAGGACAAGCTCCCCTCACTAGAGTAGAGTAGTAGAGTGAGAAACGGACCAACGCCCAGCGATCGACCGACGGCCACCGACCGAGTGTGGGCGCCCCCAACGCACTCGACGTCGCGTGGATCCGTGGCCTAGTGGATAGCGCTGCGGATTTCAAATCTAACTTCACTCTCCTGGTTCGATTCCGCCGCGGGTCCACATTTTTTCACGGACGCCAACTCCTGGGGCAGCGACAAGTTCCCAACATGGTGCGTATCGGCCGGCTTCTCCCATGCACTCTGCAGCCAACCGACAAACTCCCGCCGAGCGGCTAGACGAGCACCCCACGGCGACCCGAGGGAACGCTGTCGGAGCACTGCAGCCGAGGCGCAGTTGGCGAAAGGCAAGGCGCGGCGCTCGCCAGGAAGATATCGCCACTGGAGGCACTGGACCGCTGCAGTAGTCAGCGGGGCGAGGTAGAGAGAAAGAGCGGCAGCAAGTGCAGAACGGAGAAGGAGCGGGCGAGCGTGCGAAGACCCGCGTGGCAGCCGGCAACGGCGTGGCGAGCAGACGCAGAACGCTCCGAAGGGACTCAGAGCTGCGGAGGCGGCGGAGCTGTGAGAAACGGACCAACGCCCAGCGATCGACCGACGGCCAGCGACCGAATGTGGGCGCCCCCAACGCACTCGACGTTGCGTGGACCCGTGGCCTAGTGGATAGCGCTGCGGATTTCAAATCTAACTTCACTCTTAAGGTACGTTCCTGGTTCGATTCCGCCGCGGGTCCACATTTTTTCACGGACGCCAACTCCTGGGGCAGCGACAAGTTCCGAACAGACCCCTGCTGTGCCAAGTCACGAAGCATTGCTGCTAGTGTCCAAATAAGCGGCTCGCCGCATCAAAGCATGAGCGTTTGTCCTCCGCTATGCGAGCGTTTGTCCTCGGCTCACTAAGCATTACGCTATCACTGCACAGGAGTGTTTCTCGTAGCGATGAAGAACGCATGCGAAAAGACGCTAGTAACAGGCATAGCTGCTTGAATCGCAGCGAATAAAACACAATGTAGATGAGCGTAAACATGTGCTATCATCACACGGTACGCTCACTAAGTGCGTACCGTGCTTAATCCACGAAACATAAGTGAAGGTAGGAACGTAGAACCAATGGATACTAGGAAACGCATTCCTGGATGGACGGCCAAAGTAAGGTATATCTGCTTGCGACGCAGCCAAACGGCACCGAGATACACCGCAGAAATCAGAGCAAACGTGTGGCAATTTAAATGAACGCTCATGAAGTGCGTACGTACATTGGTTAGGCAAAATCGGACGACTGAGTGAGATACGCTGCTTGTGCAGTAGCAGCATTATGGCATTTTCATTGTAGCGAAATAGAGCCCATTCATCAACGCTCACGTAGTGCGTAAAATACCGCTTCACAAAACGTATATCGTGACGAAAATATGGGATGAGAGAGTACTAGGACGAGCAGTCCTAGTACGCGCAGTGCCTGCATATGGGATGTCAAGTATCGAGCCATAGCTGCTTGCAGCGCAGCAAAATCACAGTTGAACTCTGTATGGCCCGATATGAAAATCAAACGGTACGCGCACGAAGGGCGTGCCATTGTTCTGCTTCAAAGAACGAATAACGAGCCGGGACTTGTGGCTATACAAGTGCTAGAAGACGCTTTTCTAGCACGCGCAACACACGCGGGTAGGCGGCGAATATCTCGCAGGGCTGCTGGTCTCGCAGCATCATAACAGCGCAAAAGGTACAGCATAGTAAGCATAGCAAGGAAGAATCACTGCCAGGACGCTCACGTAGTGCGTCATTGAACTTAGGCAAAAAGACGGCTTAGGTAGCCGCTATAGGAATCATTTTGCATGCTACACTTGGTACAACTTCACCCACCTGTACTCGGATCGCTGCTACTGAAGTCGTGCGGGCGTGCTCGTAGGTCCTCGTGCCACTGTGTCGCTGAGACGGATTCCGACACCGTGCCGGGTGAAGCTCGTTGCTGTACCGTGGTTACTAGCCTCTGCTAGCGAGACGTTCCGTCGGGAAGTGATCACGAAGGCTCTTTCCCAAGCCTTTAAACCCTATGTTTTCGTTTCGCCCCCAACGTCCCGTGTCCGCCCTTCGCCTTGCATCACCTTATTTACATCTTGCGGCGCCACGGAGGCGACCCCGCCACGGGCGCATTCCTTAGCTAGCCTCCGACCATCCCGATCGGCCTCTACGCACGAAGCGGAGGTGACGCGATCGACCTCCGATTGCCCGCGTCACCCGGATGTGCACTTTGTGTCGCATGTTATGCATGCAAATGAGCCCGCGCGGCTCTCGCCTTTGCACCAAACAGCTACGCATGCAATGATATCTAGCACATATTATAAAACCTGATCATTCCAAACAGACGTCATTCGCGACGCGGATTAGTTAAACTGTTGAGCTACGCTCTGTTTAGCCTCTTGCACTTCACGGAGAAAACGATCGGTGCATGTGACGCGGCCATGGCAGAGCAGCATAGGGCAAAAAAACAGTACTAAGTTATTCTACGAGAAGTCATAAAAACCTGTTCGTTGAGCCTGTCCACTCACGCTGCATACATTTTGCCTTCTTGCAAATGTGCGCTTGGCACAGGATTACCGCTATGGCCAGCATAGAAAGTATGCGAACCACGTAGGGCTTTTTTTAAAAACACTGCCCTACCCCGAAAAAACTTATTTACGCTAGGCTTACAACGGTGGTTAAGACGGACCCTTATACCGTTCTACTCTGCTAAACTTACGTACCCATTTGCATGCTTCCTAGAAAAAACCGAAGTCCTGGGGGCCGGCCCCCAGGCCCCTTCTGTACAAGACACCTTTTAGTCCGATGAAGGTCACAGATATGGTAAAGACTTAGGTTTGACTGAAGCAAATTTACCATAATTTTCGTGGTTTTTTTTGCATGTCATTACACTGGCCACGTGATAAACGGGCAATTTCACTTGGATTTTCGCTTAATAGACCCGAAATTGTCCAAATCCGAGCAAGCTGACGGCTAGCGGGAGCCAGAGGGCCACCCACCCCCTCCCGGGCCCCCGCACAGGGTTGACTCTGTCCTTCTATATTTTCGCACATGAAAAGTAAGCTTTGGTGCAAGGTTTTTGGATACGTGTCGCCCGCCAAGTGGCACAAAAACTGGTATCGCCTAAGGGAAGGACATACTTTGGAATTTCTATCAATATGCTATCGTAATTGACCTTGAATAAAACCTGTATGGTTGCGGGCCTCTTCTTTCTTAGGCATCATGGCAGCTCAAACAAGTCGTGCATCGAGAAGCGTATAACCCCTTCAATGTGTTTATGAAGGCGAATAAGTTCTGCACCACAATCAGCGCAAGGCGGCATTTCAAGAATGTTTGCTTTCGTCTAAAACAGGCAGGAAACGAACTAAGGCATTTCTATAAGATGTTCAATGGCTATTTTTGCCACGTATTGTAATTGATAATTGCAAGTTTTTCAACTGGCGCACTGCGCCGGGTCGTATTCTGCTGCTTTAGGTTGGGAGAGTGGTTAAAAACTCTTTTCAGCCTGTCTTACTTTCGCCGGTCTTGTCAATGGAGCATGTGGCGTTTCCTAACCTGTCTTCAAGATTTTCCCAACATTTTCCGTCTGATGTCATCCAATTTTAGCGCTCCCCTTAACTCTGACCCATTCTCCAGACCCCGGCCCGCCTCCCAGACGTGCTTCTTTGGAAGCGACCGGTGTACCGTGACTTTTCTGTTATACATCGTAAAGCTTCCTACGACCACGACTCGTGCAGCGATTAAAGTATCAACTGTCCGCGAGAACAGCCTGCATGCGGCAGTAATTCGGCATACGTGCGTGGAAGCTAGCTTATTACAAGACTCGTAAAGATCTATTTCTTGCAAAAAAACTGTTATATTGAACCAGCACTTTGCGCTAAAATAAACGAAAGCTTCGAGATCACTATATCAGCCAGCCATAATAAAAACCAAAATTTTACTAAGCAGTCCATCATCCTACGACGGAACGTAGACGACAAAGACTATAGATTCCCTAAAATAAATAAACCTTGAGAACAAGCATTTCGCGCACAACGTTTTCCGCTGCAAAAATCGTAAACAGTAGAAAAAACAAGCTTTTCAAACCATGCAGCAACCCGCTTCGTCATTCAGTCGAACTCTCCGCAAACGTTCATGGAAGTACCTTCCGCCGCCACTGCGCAATCCGCTATTTGGTAAGCCAATCCAGGGCACTTACAGATTGTGCACATCATAAGCTGGTCATTTGACCACAAGCGGAAGGGCTATGGGAAATGTTCTGTGAATGACGCCCTTCGACAAGCTTGTGCTCGAGTCGTAGCCCTTAATATGACTCTCTTTTTTGTGCGGTGTTATTGCCTTTTCGGCGGACAGTGTGAACCGTTCTTCATCTGAAGTAACGGGGTTATAAATATCCTTGAATTTCAGTGAGAAAAACATGTAGCTCATCGCGATCCTTCTGGCGTTTTTGTACTTGCCCTTCCTCAATTTTTATCCCAAGGAGGGGGTGAGGAAATATACCTACCCTATTCTTGATTTACAATCCCGCTTGTGTTCAATGGCCAACTGCTCCGGAAAATGATGGCAAATGCGGTCTTTACACAACCGTATGGAGCGCGTAGTTCATTCTGAGACAGGCTTTCGAGATACTAAAAATTCGTACGTTGTTGCATTAGTTCACATAGATTCTCGGAGCGTGATGTACGTAAAAATCTAACTTGTTCGCGCTTTTTGCGCCGTTGAGAACCTTGAACGACGGCACCGCTGACACATTTGCGAGTTACATCGACTTTATGTAAAGCTGGGCAAAACTAGGATTTGTTGTTTGTAAAGCGAAATGACGCTTGCTCTGTCCACAACGCATCACGGCCGATGCAAATGCGCTTCGAATAAGTCGTTTAATCGGTTCCACATTCGTAAAAACGTTTGTAGAACCTGATTGCGAAAGCCATAGCCATCGCTGGAGCAGAGCTCAGTCGGTCCTCATTCACGTCCTTATTCTGCCTTGTGACGTAGTTTCTAACTTTAACGACAGATTTGCAAAAAAAGAACGAAAACATTCCTTCATGGGATGCTCGTGCAAGTCATCGTATTTTTGCTATGTTGATAGCTTGCTCGTTTTATGGGCACTGCACGCGCCGTAAAATCGCTACCGTACGGCTAGGGTACG